ATGGCTTGTAAATATGGAAGGTAAAGGAATTTCTTTTTCTTTTTTTAGAATTACACAAAATACAAATGGAATTTAAATTTCCGGCTGTGCCTATTTTCAAACTTTAAAATTTTGATTGTGGCGTGAAATATAAGATCTATTATTTTGTAAATATTAGTAATCAGTAAATTAAGGTAATCTTGTCACTTGGTGTTGATGAATTATGCATTATTCTTATTGACCTGTCATATATAGAATTCTACAAAATCTAGAATAATTATTAGCAACCCGCAGAATAAACAAGAAAAAAAAACAAAAAGATATATAAACGTAATAGATTTGTCTACAAAAGAAATCTGTATTGTTTTAAAAAAAATGTGAATTTATTATATTTACATTTTTTGAATAATCAAACCATTGAATATAATTAAAATCAACTTCAAAGTGTTTGAGAATTTTTAAAAAAAATATAAAATTTACAAAAAAAAACCGGGACTCAAACACTTTAGAGGTTGAAGACGATGATTTTCTGTTTTAACCCTTTTTTTTATTTCCTTACTTTTATCAAAACCATAAAATACACACACACATATTATACATAACATAGAAATATATAATTATTACATAAAAACAATCAAAAAAAGGTGAGAGAAAATAATTAATAAAATTTTTGATATAATAATAAAAGAATTCGCTAAAAACATTAGTTTTCTTCCTGATAGGAAAAAACAAAGGAAAAAAACAGAAACTCTTTCCGGAAATTCTATTATTTTTATTATTATTATTATTATTATCATTCCAATAGAAAAACCTGGAATTTTTCCGGAAATAGGAAATAATGATTATTTAAAAAAACTTTTTTATAATGAAAAGATTACCTGGTTTATAAAAATTTATTTGTATATTAGAATAGATTTGTTATTTTTACTTGTAAAATGTTTTGTATACCATATATATATATATATCATTAGTTTAGTGACAAAAAGAACATTCTTTTATTATTATTATTACACTGTAGTTTTTTTTATACAAAAATTAGATTATTTGTTACTTATTTTTTATTAAAGTCAATTTAAACAAATAAAATAAACACTTTTTTTTCTACGAAATTTATTTGTTGTGGTGGTCATTGCATTTTTGAAATAATAAAAAAAAGAATATAGACTTTTGAATAGAATAAAATCCCACGAAAAAATATACAAGAGGTTAGTTATTATGTGGGGGCAGTTTATTAATTTATTTTATAAATTAATTAATTAATTGATAATTGTAATTGTATAATAGTTTCGTTTTTTGATTACCAAATTCATGCGTAGATGGACGGATAACTTACAAATATTAATAATAATAAATATTTTTTATATTGTTCACCGATGGACATTTATTCACACTTGGGAATGTAGTTGATTTTTCAAAATTTAGAAATGTCTTGTGATGGAGGTAATTGGTTTATAACAAGTGTGTTGTGTGTGGTATTAATATTCTCTTATTTTTAGAAGGGTAGAATATTTTAATTGTTGGCATGGTAATATACTAAAAATTTTTTTAATAATAATTGTAATCGTAGGATGTCATAAATCTTTACATCGTATAAGGCGATGGATAAGATTGGCCGTAAAAAGAATAAAAAATACTTATCCAATGCATAGTAATAGATGATGATTGATAGTAATATCAAAAAGATCACTACTTGGCAAAAAGTTAAATAACTATCAAATTTATTTTATTATTATTTAGTTTCCAAATTTTTATCCATTTTTCAATTCTTGATAAATTATTTTCAATATCATCCGTATTATTACTTTGCAATCCCACAACAATTTCTTCTGAATAAGATTCTTTTGCTTATTATGGTGAAACTTGAAATATCTCTCTGTTAACATTTTCTGGTATTTTTTGACTTGGATTAAATATCAATAATCTATAAAATCCATCTTTTTCTATAAATAGTAATATCGGCTCTCAATGCAGGAACGAAAGTCAATAATATTTCCACTATCTTCAATTATTTCTTCCAATTCGTCAATAACCTAAATATATAATAAATGATCATAGACTGATTATTAAATACTTTATCATCATCTAATATATTTTCATTATATCCATCATATAT